TCTCATTTTAGATGGTTGTGAGCCACCACGTGGCTGCTGGAATTGAACATAAACACTCTGGGACTGATTTTTTTCTTTTATTTCTTTCTGGTTTTCTGAGACAGGGTTTCTCCATATAACAGTCCTGGCTGTCCTGGAACTGCTTGGTAGACCAAGCTGGCCTTGAACTCACTGAGATCCACCTGCCTTTGCCTCCCTCTGTGATTAAAAGTGTGTGCCACGACCGCCCAGCTGATTTTTTTTTTAAAGTAGGATCTCACAATGTATGGCCTGAAACTCACTATGTTTACTGGGCTAGTCTTGAACTCACAAAGATCCACTTACCTCTCCCTGTTGAGTGCCACCACGCCCAGCCTTGGTTTTGTTTTTTAGACCGAGTCTCACTACATGACTCCCTGGACTCACAGTCCCCAGCACCAACCTCTCCAGGGCAAGCGTGATAGAGAATCGCCTAGCTGTGGAGGTGATTTTACTGGTTGGGAACCAGCCTGATGTTCTCAGGAATATTTGGCATGTTCTCTGTGCAGGATTTGAGACCTGGGAGCTACAGAGCATTTTTTTCTTTTTTTTTAAATTAAAGGTTCATAAAGCAATGCCGTGCCTAAATATAAAGCAGCCTCGTAGAATCAGTGATGAAGTACTTTCCCCAAAGATACTGGGGAGAGGGGGGGTCGAGGCAGAGTTGTTCACAACAGGAGCCCAGTGGTCCCAACCCCAATAGCATACACCTTCAGCATCCTACTTTCCGGATCAAAATGGGATTCAGCCCATTTTTATTCTCCGTGAAACCAAGTAACAGCTGAAGAAGTCCCAGGATTTTTCTTAAGCAACCCAAGCTGAGGCTGAGACCCATTCCCTAGGACTGACAAAAAGCACTTAAAGCTCCCTTAACCTTCATTGAGGGTGGAGCCTTTTACTGCTTCAATAAAGAGAAAGGAGGTTACTTGGCCTGGGTGACACAGGCCTCTAATTCCAGCCCTAGGAAGGCAAAGTTGGGCAGATTTCTGAGTTCGAGAACAGTGCAGGCTACAAAAGAAACTTGAAGAGTGAGAGAGAGAAAGGAGGAGAGAACTGAATGCCTATAACATGTGTTATTCTCCCCAGAGAGGGTAGGTTATCAAGAGCACCTGTTTCTGTATGTCTAAGCATGTAGGTCTCCTCCAAGTGTGGTGCCCACACCAGCACCAAAAGCCTAAGAAATTGTGAGGATACCAGTCTAACCTTGTGCAGACTCTAAGAAATCGTATACTCCCAGGACTGGGCTCAGCTTCCAGTGTGTGTGTGTTTGTGTGTGCGCCTGTATGTCAAAGCCAGAAATCAACATCAGGTGTCTTTTCTTAGGAGTCAAGCTGTGTATCTTGGTTTTTGAAACAGTCTTTTACTGGAATGCTGGGTTCATCAGTTAGGTAAGGTTAGCTGACCAGTGAGCTCTAGGATTCTAAACAGAAGCCATTGTGCCTGACTTTATGAGGGGGTGAAGATCAGACTCAGGTCCTCACGGGAGTAGAGCAAACACTGCTATCAGCTGCCCCAGATTTTGGAGGTTGTTTGTTTGTTTGTTTTGCTTTTGTCTTTTGAGACAGGGTTTCTCAGTGTGGCTTTGGAGCCTGTCCTAGAAATTGCTCTGTAGACCAGACTAGCCTCGAACTCAGATCCACCTGCCTCTGCCTCCTGAGTGCTGGAATTAAAGGTGTGCTCCACCACTGCCTGGCTCATTCTAGACTTTAACGTGACTCAGCTTTAAGAACCCTTGCTTCATAGATCCGCCTGGAAATTGGAAGCAAACAAGATTGCCAGACAAAAGTTGGGAGCATGGGGGTGGGGGTAGGGGTGGGAGTGAGGTTGGGGGAAGGGGTGAGGGAGAGAAGGAAGGGAGAAGGGAAAGACTGGCGAGAGCTTGGGGGACTGGGAGGGTGGAGATGGAGGAAGGGTGGATATAGGAGCAGGGAAGAAGCTATCTGGGAGCCATTTTAGGGTTGGCAAGAGACTTGGCTCTAGGGGGTATCCCAGATGTCCACAGGGATGTCCCCAAGCTAGGTCCTTGGTCAGCAGAGGAAAGGGTGCCTGAACTGTCCTTGCCCCACTATCACACTGATGATTATCTCGAATATCACCATAGAATCTTCGTCCGGCAACAGATGGAGATAGAGACAGAGACCCACATCAGAGCATTGGAGAGATGGCTCAGTGCTGCCTGCTCTTCCAAAGGTCCTGAGTTCAATTCCCAGCAACCACATGGTGGCTCACAACCATCTACAATAAGATCTGGTGCCCTCTTCTGGCCTGCAGAGATACATGCAGGCAGAGCACTGTATGCATAATAAATAAATAATTTTTTAAAAAAGAAGGGATAAAGACTCAGTTCTACTTCAAAATGGCAAGAGTGGAGCTTTATTGGTCTGAGAGGTTGATGTTACTAAACCTCGAGCAGCTCAATATCCAAGGGGTACAGGAGAAGAGCCCATCATGCAAGGCCTGAGAATCAGCTTTTGCAGCTGTTGAGTAGGGAGGCGGAGGGCCTGGTGAAGCCAGGCCCATGGACTGCTTTTTGTGTAATCTGTTTTTGAAAACTTTGGGGTGGGAGATAATTCAGATTGTGTTTGTGTGACCTCTGTGCTTCGGGGCAGATGACAGGTTGGCTGCTTCTGGAACTACGTGGGCAACAAAAATCTCAAAGCCTTAAGCCTATTTTATGGCTTAAGGCTTATATGTGGAGGAAGTCTTTTACTTCTTTTTTCTACAACCTCCCACACCCCCATATCACTAGCTCCCCTTGTCTTCTATGTGTTGCCTTCATCTGCAGCCTGGATCTTAAGACTGAACTCCTCAAACGCCTTTAATGCCACCCAAGGACAACACATGCCACCCTTGATATTAATGGCCCTTTTAAAAGTAGAATTCAAGGGCATTTGCTCTGACATCTTTGCCAGGCTCCCCTAGAACCCAGTGGGGCAGACCTGTCCTCAGAATCAGGCCCAGCTATAATGTTAGGAATCAGAAAACACCCTCACAGTAGAGCAGATGCTAGTCCACAAATGCTTTCCTCCCTTAGGCCACAGCCTAGCATGCTTCTGGAGCAATCTAGAAAAGAAATGTGCTCAAAGGGGCTGTGGCCCATCAGGGAGGTTCCGAATACAGTTAAGCTCCCCCATCGCAGCCTCCCCAGACCCATCACTGCTTTGTCTGTGGTCCCATACCCACAAATTTTGTTATATAGCCTGCATTTCTGCAAAGGATGAAGACCACATCTCATGCCCAGCTTCGTTCTTTTTTTGTTTCTTTTCTTTTTTGAAACAGGCTTTTTCTGTGTAGCTCTGGCTGTCCTAGAATTCACTTTGTAGACCAAGTTAGCCTTGAATTCACAGAGATCTGCCTGCCTCTACCTCTCAAGTATTTTAATTAAAGAATTTCATTCTTTGCAGATGGTGGGTTCAGCCAGCTTTTCTCAACAGTTTTTTTTTTTTGTTTGTTTGTTTCTTTTGCTTTGTTTTTATTTTTTGAGACATGGTTTCTCTGTGTAGCTTTGGAGCCTGTCCTGTAGACCAGGATGGTCTGGAACTCGCAAAGATTCATCTGCCTCTGCCTCCCCAGTGCTAGGATTAAAGGTGTGTGCCACCACTGCCTGGCTTCTCAACAGTTCTTGAAGGCCTAGGTCAGGGGAATGACTGTAGACAAGAAGGAACTAAACCTTGACAACAACATTCTCTGAGCCTGGCAGTCAAACTGATGTTAGTCTCATTTTGCAGAAAAGTTTACATGACTCAGCAAGGAAGCAAGTGTCAGGGGAACTGGACCAGATTCCTTCCACACTGCCTGGGCCTGCTCAAATCCCCTCCCTTGCCTAAGGCCATTGGGGTTGAAGGAAGAGCAGCATATTAGTCAGGGTTCTCGAGAGTAACAGAATTTATAGAATGAATCTCTATATATATACATATATATATATGATTTATTAGAATGACTCACAGGCCGTAGTCCAGTTAGTCAAGCAGTGGTTAGCTATGGATACAAAGTCCAAGAATCTAACAGTCGTTCAGTCCACAAGGCCGGATGTCTCAGCTGATCTTCAGTATACCCTGGAATCCTGAAGAAGTGGGCTCTAAGGCCAGAGAGTGGATCTGCTAGCAATGTGAGAGCAAGCAGGCAAAGAGCAAGGCTCCCTTCCTCCACATGCTAATATAGGCTTCCAGCAGAAGGCACGGTCCAGATTAGATCTGGATTAAAGGTGTGTCTTCCTACCGCAAAGATCCAGTTAGAAGTAGATCTTCTCACTTCAAACTAAGCAGAAATCCCTCACAGGTGTGTCCTCACAGGGGTTTTAGTTCATTCCAAATGCAGTCCAGTTGACGACCAAGACTAGCCACCACAAGCCACATTGCTAGGGCAAGATCTAGGTTAGACCATTGTGAGGAAGGAACCTGATCACGAGCTGATCTAGTAGATAGTTACGTTTTGGGTGCCGTCTTTCATCCAGGGAAAAAGCCCTCAACAGTGTCACCTTGTTGATGAACAGGGAGAGGCCCTTGTCCTCTAGAAGCACCAGTAACTGCACTTAGCTAGCTGAATGAACGTGAGGTGTATGACATTTCTGAAAATAAATCAGTGCTGGTTTTAGAATCTTACCTGATCCTCCCCAAACATGATTCCCTAGGCTTCTGCTTCCTGTCTAACAGCCCACCCCCTTCCTCCCAGTAATTCTTACACTCCTGCCTAAAGCCCGAGGGCCTCGGTGCCTGAGATCTACTGTAAAAGGTTTCTCTTCTCACCATGTCCTCCTCCCAATCACCTGACCACATCAGAGACTTTACACCCTGACCTGTAGAGAATGGACAGGCCGTGGTTTCTCCAGGAGCTGTATACGTAGTTGAGTTTCAGAAACTGTCAGAATCATGCCCACCTGGAAGCCTGTTTAAGCCTGAGTCAAATATAGGTAACAAAGTTGGGACCAGGGAGTGGGGATACACAAGATCATAGCAAGACAGCAGGGTTGGCTGTGCACTCACCAAAATGAAGGCTCTATAGTGGTCAGTTTTCTGTTTTGCAGTGTCCCAGAGCTACGGGAGAAAAGAAGGTGAGGTTGACCCTGGGCCATACAAGCTTCTACACCAGCTCAATCACATCCTGGGTTTGGCAGATCTTACCTGTGCTTGGGTACCAGCAAGGTATCAGGTGGCAAACACCATCTTACAGGTAGGGGCAGTGCCAGCAACTGCTGTTCAGACTCTCGTCTTAGACTTCATTTGGCATCTGTCACTAGGGTTCTTTCGGGGAACAACAGGGTCAGTATCTCCCAGCTTTCCACTGACTGTTAAAGCGTAAATCCTTGAGGATTAGAAAGGAGACAGCTCCTAAACGGGGCGGTGGTGGTGCACGCCTTTAATCCCAGCACTTGGAGGCAGAGGCAGACAGATCTCTGTGAGTTCGAGGCCAGCCTGAGCTAGTTCCAGGACAGCTAGGGCTGTTACACAGAGAAACCCTGTCTTGAAAAACAAAAACAAACAAACAAACAAATAAATAAATAAAGGAGGCAGACCCTTAAAAAAAGCATGCAAAGAGTAAGGTAGGCGGTATAGAGACAAGATTCCTTCTCCCCAAGGTGTTAGCCAAAGCTCTTGGTATGTTCAGGAGGGATGAACATGATGCCTTTTTCTGGGGTTTTGGAGATAAAGGCCTAAGGAAAGATGTGGTGTTTTAAAGTATGAAGACTTGGGGTTCCTACCTCATATAAGTACCTATCTCAGTTAGGGTTTCTACTGCTGTGCTAAAACACCGTAATGAAAAATAACTTTGGGAGGAAAAGGTTCATTTTGTCTTATGGTTTATAGGCCATCATCCAGGAAAGTCAAGGCAGAAAATGTAAAAGTAAAAACAAAACAAAAGAAACAAAATAATGTACCTATTTATTTTATCCCACAGGACCCAGACCCTACACAGGGTGTAGGCAGCTAGTGTCCAGAGACAATAAGCCAACTGTGTGTTTGGTTCTGTGTGTGAGTGCGTGGGGAAGGCGTGGGGAAGCCTGGGGAGCTCCTCTCCCTCCCCCCTTCACAGTCAGCACAGGCTCACAGCATCACTGCACATGCTGATTAAACGAACATCTCTTAGTTGCCCCAGTCTTTGGAGAATTTTATTTCGTTTAATGAGCTCCTTCATGCTTGGCTATTAATCCCACCTTTTCCAGGAAGAGGGCACAGCCAATAAAGGCCAGCTAGCTTTCTTACTTCACGGTGGAACCAACTGTGGGGTGTGACTCTAGTTGTTAGTGTCCAGGCACACCTTGGGCCTGCCGCGGGGAACCTGGCACAATGTATCACACCTCACCCCTCTGAACATGGCAAATAGTTCCCTGACTGTATGCAGATGCAAAGGTCCCTTTAAGAGACAAGCTCCACACACTCCTGCTGTACTCCCAGCAATTCCTCCCTCTCTCTCTATGTCTCTCTCTCTTCCATTCTCATTCCCCTTATCTCAATAAACTCCACACTCAAGCTCTGTCTGCATGGCGGCGTATTTTGTCTCCCCCCCCCCCCCGCGGTTTGGACCTACCCATCGCTAAGGTCCGAACATGCACTCCCAGGAATGTCTAGATGAAATTAGCCTCCAAATGAGATTATTCCTACGCCCAAATTTCCTCATCTCTTCTATTTCTTCTTACTTCTCTTTACTTATATATGCATCTGTTTGTGTTCTTGTACCTGTCCTTGTGTGTGGGTGTGCATGCCGATGTCAAAGAAGACATTGGATCCCTTGGAGTTGGAGTTGCAGGTGTTTGCAGGATACCCAGTTTGCGGTGTAGCTGCTGGAATCTAAACTCAGGTCCTCATGATTGAATGCAAGCACTTCTCACCACTGTGCCTCCTCCCTATCCCCCTCTTTCACTTCTTTTCATTCCTTTTCTAGGAAGAATTTCTTCCTGGATAAATTGCTTGCATGAGACAGGCAAGAGGGGTCTTAGAAGGCAAACCAAAAGATAAACAGAAATTGACCATTTACCAGACTACATGGGGGAAGGGATCCCACCATTAATCCAAGTGGTATCTGAGAGTCCGTAGACTATAGCCCTGGGGTGATAAAATATTCAGTCCAGGTAATGGGGAGTCAGGATGAAGGAGATATACCAATTCATGCAGCAGCCCTAGGACCTTGAAGTATGTGAGGCAAGTCAGAAATCTGGAGCACGGCAATGTGATGGGTCATCTTCATTGTCAGCTTGACTGGGTCTAGAATCACCTAGGAGACATGCCTTTGGGAGAGTCTACCTAGGAGACATACCTTTGGGTGAGTCTACCTAGGAGACATATCTTTGGGTGAGTCTTCACGGCTCTTCCCAGAGAGATTTAACTAAACAGGAACAACTTCACCCTGAATGTGGACAGCACTTTTCCACGGCCTGGAGTCTGCAATCGGATACCAAGAAATTGAGCTGATGACCAGCTCTCCCTCCTTCCTAGCTGAGCATTCGGTGTGACCAACACCTCACAGCCATGCACTCTAGCTGTGGTGGGCTGGGCCTTTCTTTTTGTTGCTGTTGCAGTTGTTTTTTTTTTTCAAGACATGGTTTCTCTGTGTAGCCCTGGCTGTCCTGGAACTCACTCTGTAGAACAACCTGGCCTCGAACTCAGAGCAATCCACCTGCCTCTGCCTCTTGAGTGCTAGGATTAAAGGATTGTGAACTACTTCCAGCAAATCCTTCCTTCCTTTCTATTTTTAAATTATTTTATTTTTATATAGTTTTAATACTTTATTTAACTTTATTTTATGTGCATTGGTGTGACCGTGTCAGGTTTCCTGGAACTGGAGTTACAGACAGTTGTGAGCTGCCATGTGGGTACTGGGAATCAAACCCAGGTCCTCTGGAAGAACAGTCAGTGCTCTTAACCTCTGAGCCATCTCTCCAGCCCCCTTCCTCTTCTCTTTCAGAACTGACTTTTAAGTAGTGGTTTTGTTGGCTGTCCAGGTGTTAAGTCCCCCAGAAAGCCCAGTTCTAGGCTTCATCTCCACAGATCACTGCAGACTGGGGTCTGTTGTCACTCTGGCTCTTATCCTGAATCTCCCCACCTTACTTCTGAAGTTAAAGACTCACTCCCTTAACAGTACCTTTGGATGACAGAGAGGAGCTCCTACTGAGCTTTATCTGTGCTTAGTACATGGTAGGCCAGGCTGGTTTACTAGGGAGTTCCTGGATAACCAGGACTACAAAAAGAGACCCTGTATTACAAAAAGAAATTAAGAAAAGAATAAAGGGAGGGAGGAAAAAGAGAAGAGGAGGGAAGAGGAGAGGAGAGGAGAGGAGAGGAGAGGAGAGGAGAGGAGAGGAGAGGAGAGGAGAGGAGAGGAGGGAAGAGGAGAGGAGAGGAGAGGAGAGAGAAGATAAAAAGAAATTCTGGACAGAACCCAGTCTCCTGTCTGAGTCTCTTTAGTATCCAAGACTGCAACCAATGCACTCAGTTAATAAAAATCCATCTACTTATCAAGACAGTGTCTTGCTATGTCATTCTGGGTGGCCTGGAGCTCAAATATGTAGACCTTAAATGTAGAACTCAATATGTAAACCTTCAACTTGCAAGAAGTCTCCTGCCTCCATCCCCTAAGTACTAGGATTATTAGCATGCACCACCATGCTCAGTTCTTTTGTTTTGTTTTGTTTTGCTTTTTGAAACAGATTCTTGGGTGTTGAGATTAAAAGTGTGTGTTATCATACACAGCTTAACTATGTATTTACATTTTTATATTTAAAATAATATATTTATAATAATATATTACAAATTATATTATAATAAGTAAATTATATTTATAATAATATATTAACAAATAACCTAGAAGCTGTCATGTTATCCAAGCACTCACCAGGCTGAGGTAGAATGATAGCCAGTCAGGGCCTGATTGTATGTACTGCGGGGAGGTTGGGGGTGAACCCTGGGATGCAGCTCAGTTAGCGGAATGATTGTGTGGCATGCACTGAGCCCTGGTTCAAGCCCAGACTCTGAAAAACTGGATGTGACAGCCAGCTGTGGTGGTACGTGCCTTTAATTCCAGTACTTGGGAAGCAGAGGCAGGTGGATCTCCAGGAGTTTAAGACCAGCCTGGTCTACATGGAGAGTTTCAGTTCAAGCCAGCCAGGACTACATAGTGAGACTGTCTCAAAAAACATACAAAAAATACACACCGGGGCTGGAGAGATGGCTCAGAGGTTAAGAGCACTGGCTGCTCTTCCAGAGGTCCTGAGCTCAATTACCAGCAGCCACATGGTGGCTCACAACCATCTGTAATGAGATCTGGTGCCCTCTTCTGGCCTGCAAGGATACAGCCAGGCAGAACACTATGCATAATAAATAAATATTTTAAATATACACAATTAAAAATTTTAAATAAAAAAGTAAATTTTCTTTTTTCTGAGACAAAGTTTCTCTGCATAGCCTTGGCTGTCCTGAAACTCACTCTGTCGATCAGGCTAGCCTGGAACTCGCCGAGATCTGCCTGCCTCTACCTCCCAAGTTCTGGGATTAAAGTTGTGCGCCGCCATCAACTGGCTAAGAGTAGACTTTTTTATACCTACTGTCCAGATCCTTTCATAAACTGAATCAGGGCTGGAGAGATCTCAGTGGTGAAGAGCACATAAGAGCACATACTGCTCTTTCAGAGGACCCGAGTTTATTCTCAGCACTCACACTGCAAGGTTCCCAGCCACCTATCATTCCAGCTCCCAGGGGTCCTACTCCTTTTCTGGACTCTTCAGGAACCTGCACACACAGACACACAGACACACATACAGACACACACAGACATACACAGATACACACATTCTGTCATTACGTCTCCACTATACTTGCTTATCACCTATCCGTTTCTCTATAGTTAAGGGTTTGTCTCCTTCGGGTCACATTGCTTTTGTCGTTGTTGTTCTTGTGAGACAGAGTAACCCAAGCTGACACTGAACTTGCTGTACTGCAAAGGATGACCTTGAACTCCTGACTCTCCTACTTCCACTTCCTAAGTGCTGTGATTACAGGCCTGTGCCACCACTGCTGGTTCTTTTCCTCTTTCTCCTCCTCCTTCTTTGTACTGCTGAGGGCCTCCGACACGCTGGGCAATGATCTGCCATTGTGTTATAGCCTCAGCTCTGTAAGTCAATAAATTTTGGATATGCTAGGTATGCAATAATCACATTTTTCCTGAGTGTTTTGTTATTGAAAGTAAATGCACGCCCCCGTGTGGCTGCATGTTTACCAGCACTTCACTTTTGGAACTTCCTCCTAGCCTGTCACATGTTCTGTTTTACACACACACACACACACACACACACAC